ATGCTTCTCAAGAGATTTTAGGCTAGGATGTTAATAAATTATCCATATAATCTAATGTCATTTTTAACGCCTAAGTCATTTGCTGGCTGTGTTAACCAAAATGGATGCATTCCTTGTGAAATATCCATTTTATTTTTGTACCAGAATAGTCGATATCTTTTTCAGAACAAGTTAAAGATTCAATGTGTTGGACAATTTATTATTTCAGTGCCACCTCTGGTATTGTATATTTTCAATGTCACTTATTAAAAGCACATGAGAGCTGAGGCATATGTTTCAATAAAACAAGAAATTCACCACAAAACTGTTGAAAGCAGGTACTATAGTGTTCTGTTTGAAGTACATAGAAATCCTTCATGGTAACATGTTATTGCTTAACCCAGGTTTGTTTAGAATCCGACTTAAGTGTTCACCTTTAATTGTAAGCAAAAAGAAGAGAAACATAATGCACATAGGTTCTGTATGATATAATTGAATGTGCTACTGCTTAGCTTCCAAATTTTTCTGTATTAGTCCAGTATCTGTTTATCTGCAAAGTACCTTGTGATCAAGGAATTCGATTTTTCTCTGTACAATATTTTAACTGCATTCTTTGTGAACTTTGTGAGTTAAACTTGGTGTAATTAGCTGAATGCAAAATTCACATGTGCAGATACTCACCGACAGAATAAACTATGGATGTTTTTCGAAAACACTTTGCTTTTTTCCCCCACGAGGTCCTGGATATGCCTTTAGCACATGTGTGCCGAACAAAAGTAGGATTAGACACCTACTTATTTAATATTTTTGGCTTACGATATTCATTTCTATTTAAGGTTAAAGAGCACAATTCTTCATGGCACCAAAACAAAGCATCTCCTATTCTCAATTTCTGGATGAAAGTACAATAGCTCTGGTCATTTGATAATTAATGCTAGTTATACACTTTTCTTTTTCAACAGATAAGTCTGGAACAGACCTTTGTTGTTGAACTGTAAGTGGTCCGTGTGGTGTTGTCAGCATCACTATTTACCTGTGCACATTTTTCAGTTTTAAAGAAGTCTACATTTTTGATGAATCTATGGTTATGGCTGACGATAGTGTCAGAAATAGGTTGAGTTACAGTGCGAATATTTATAAAATCAAATATAGATGGGTATACAGTGCATACTGCATTCCAAGGGCACTGATAAGTCCCACAACTTTCAGTGGCTGCTGCTTCTCATGTTATAAAGTAAAAGCTTGATGTGATTATTCACTGGCTCTGGTAGACGTGATGCAACGGGAGTACTGGATCTCAGTGTAATTAAAATAGCATGGCAATGAAGCAACTTTGCAGTGTAAATGATCTGCAGTCTAATGAGTGTAGCATCACTGCGGCTAGTTCATTAGTATCCGGGCCTTGGGCAGAGTCATGTGTAAACCCTGTGAGCACTGGGCTGTTATTCCAGTCAGGGAAACTTTGCCAGCTGTCCGGTTGCATTTTCAGTCAAGACCTGCGAACAGCCAAGAGCTCGGGAGGCTCGCTGATCGTCGCGTGACTGCTCCAGGCAGCGGCCCGTAGATGAGTGACAGGAAGTGAAGGCATCCTCAGCTGTCCCAGCTGCGCTGTGGTTCTGTTTACCAAAAAAAAAAGTCTCCCAGGGCCACTAAGTATCCTCAGTGACACAAGCTTTTTTAATATCCATGAATTGTTCCCGAATTGAGAGTAAACGCGGGTACAGCTTCAGAGGTGAACACTGTTGTGGTATTTTCTGTTATTCACCTTTTTTGTTTAGGGGGTTTATTAGCCTGGGATCGTGTAATTGCAGTAATTACATGACAAATGTCTCTTCCCTGTCCTCTCAATAGTGATGGTGCTGTTTTCACTCCTTAGGAGACTCTTGTGCACCATATAAAAATCGGGTAGTTTGCCTCTTACTTTTCTCTTTGGTTTCCTATGCCTTTAGATCAAGCACCAAAACATTTCCTCAAGTATTTCTTGTGTCAAACACTTCCCATCATTCACTTTCCACAACACTGTCTCGATCCAGACAGCAGAATTTCCGGAGCTTTAATCATACATTCTATTGGGGTGTTCTCCCTAACCGCCTTCCTCGTTTTTGTTTTTCAGGATGTCTTAAGGATGACAGGATCGTGTTTTGGACCTGGATGTTTTCTAACTATTTCATGGAGAAATGGGCCCCCAGACAGGACGACATGCTGTTCTATGTGCGGAGAAAGCTGTCCTATGTCAGTGCTGACAATACGGATGGGAAGAAGGTAGATTGGATAGATTCCGCTCACTGTATGATAATGTGTGCTTCCACTTCGCCAACCATTAAGTCTAATTATAAATTGGAGAGTGGCTGGCTGCTGCAATAGAAAAAAACGGTATAAAATGTTGCTGTGGGATACCAATTTG